AAAAAACAAACTACATTTTAAGTGCTTCCATGAAAGACAGGTGTTCTCAATGGTGAATGCTGCTGTCAATACTCATGGATGCTTTCCTAATGCTGGATGCACCTTAGAGGCTGTTTACAATATCTGAATCATAGCAAGTTACTAAGATTCCGCACCATAAGAACTGTCTTGATGGTGGAAACTTTGTATACTTGTCCAGAAAAGCTATCATGGTGTGTTAGCAGACACAAACATATACCATGTTACAACTCAAGTGTATGAGCCCTAAAAGTGAAAGAGTGTTTCTGAAAGCTATGCTCCCGGGCCTATTTTTAAAAAACAGTCCAATGAAGAATAATTTTTAATTTAAATATAGAATTGAGAAACATGTATGCAAAAGAAAAATGTATTTTCATAAGATTAGCATTAATTTCTTAAAAATAATAGCAGCAAAAAGAAAACCTAACAAAGGTCTCAGAAAAATGAAGCAGGTCTTACATGCATGTGTGGGGTTGATAGATGTTTCATAAGCATGTAGTAAACATTTTGCGATTGAAAATATTAATTAACTCTACAACCTATAATTGAAGCTTTCTTTCCAATACTATCCCTCTTCTTTATTATTATTTTGTGGGTTCTATACCAGATTTGAAATAGGAACTCCACTCAATAGTGTGTGACATGAGCCTATGTGGTAAAGTAACTCACCCTAACAACCCCTCAAGATGTACTCTACTCTCAGTCCCAACCGTTGCACTTTCAATTGTAATCTATAAACTATCATAAAAAATCCCATTAATGCGGTAAAAATACAAAGCAAACTGCATTTATTTTTTTTAATGCTTTTACATTAAAAATCTTGCTGATCCTGCCAGTGAACAGTCTTTTTAACAGGGTGACAATGCTAAATGCCCTGCAGTAAAATTACGGCATCCTTGTCACCCTGTTCGGAATAAGGCCCTACACAAGGACTACACCACTGCATTGCAATGTACGTTGAGGAGGAGGTTTATCAGCATTGCTACTGCTGATAATCCTGCCCCACACTGCCAGTCAGGGTCTACATTTGCAATGAACCTGTCAATAGAAATACACAAGACACCATCTAGCATCCCTCCCCCAGATTCTGAGGGCATTTACAAGGGAATATTTATAAATGAAAATGTGTGCCTAATGTTGGACTTTAACAAACAGTCACATATATGTGCAAGTACCATTTTCTGCTCTAATTAAGTGATTGCCACAAGTCAGAATTTGAGGCTCTCTCTACAAAAAGTTTACTTTGTTTTACATAGTGGACAAAAAACAGGACATATGAGACTCTATCGTGGGTACAAAAGATTCAGGAACTTCAGAAAGAAAATGTCCCCTACTAGTAGACACTTCAACATGAACCATTCCATTAAGTGCAATGGGTTTGATTTACTAAAGTCAATTAGGGTGTTGACTTTACAAGGGAATTTGCACTTTGCAAGGGACTTTTCTCTTGACTTAGGGAATGATGTGAAATTTGACTTTGCAAAGAATACCCAATCATGTGCACGGAAAATATAAAAAACAGTATTTTGCTTGCACATGATTGGATGATGGAAGTCAGCAGAGCTTAATCTCACTGACTAAGCTAAGGGAAAATTTCCCTGCAAAGCGCAAGTTTCCTTGCAAAGTGTACAGCCTTTTTCGCTTTGGTAAATCAACCTAAAAACACTCTCTTTACCTTGCTGATTACATTCACCTGACATAGAAGCAAATCCTTCACAAGAGTTGTTTGACTAAGCTTAGATAATGGCAATCAGAAATGGAGAGAGATGATCAGGAGCAGAGTGTGATAAACCTATGGCACAGGTCATATTGAAAATTCTGCTGTAGATTCCTTGAGAAATACAAGGAGGCACTAAAGGATTCAGCTATCTAGCCCTTTACAGTAAGA